CCAGCGGGGGCCGTGACTGCCCCTCACGAGCTGCGCCTGTACGAAGCAATGACTGTGCTGTGCCTTTTGTTTTATTTAGATGAACTCCAGGGGCTTGTTCCTGGTTCACAGGCAATGGACAAGACAGATAAACCCGCGTGAGTGTGAGAAAGTTCATCATTATTTAGTGTGTGCTAATTTTACTTTTATATGAATGGAGTTCAAGGAGAAGGTCTTTGTGCGCCTGGAGTGACAGCTTTCTCTCACAAGTATTGCTGTGATAACACATGTTTTCTGTTCAGCCAGTAACTCTTTAAGAGGCTTAAAAGGAATGAAAGGCTTTCCTTACACCTTTTTTGAGACGACGTTAGTTTACAGCACTGTGTGCTCCGGAGGGGTGAGACCACACCCAAGATGGGTGTCCCAATACCACAGGCGCCGCCACGGTGCCGCCAGCCCCCACCACAGCCCCTGGGCCAACAGACTCCCCTCGGCAGAGTGCTCCTGGGCCCTTACCGGTCATTCTGCAGAGGGTGCTAGTGTCTGGTGCTAGACGGAGGTCTTGTAGCTTTCCCTGTGTGCGTCCTGTCCACGTCGCATTACTTTCTTCACTCCTTGCCAGAGTCTGTCTCGGGCCTTTCTGAGCTGGGCCTTCTCACAGGCAGAGATACCCCGCTATGGTTTGATTTGCGTCTCCCCAGTGACGGAGAAAAGTGTCTTCATGTGCCGCTGGCCGTCTCTGTGTCTTCGGGGAGTTTCTGTTTAGCTCACCTGTCCATTTTTGATTCGGCTATTTTCTTTTTCTTGAGTTGTGTGACTTCTATGGCTCTTCCCAGGCAGCCTCCTGGGGGGGGGGGGAATGCCCTAGGCAGCAGGGCGCATCGTGTCAGCGAGCCTCCTGCTGTGCAGAAACTTTCTGGTTTGGTGTCCCGGCTGTGTCCTCCCTTTTCTGTCTCTTGCATTGGAGACAGAGTCACAAGAAGCCGCTGAAACTAAGGTTGCGAATGTCTTGTCTGTGTTTTCTTCATTGTACTTTATGGTTTGGACTCTTAACATCTACATCTTGAATCCATTTGGAGTTAATTTTTGTGTAAGATATAAGTGAGATTTTTTTTACATAACAAAGTAGAAGTATAAAGAAATGTAACCTAACTTATGCACAGAAGAGCAGTAAGATATGTTCAAGTAGATAGCAAAATAGGAGCAATAATGGAGTTTCTTTTATAATATTCTGTGTTCTTAGCAATCACTTCATGGATTTTGACTGTTCCCTGACTTAAGAAAATATTTTCTATCAATAAATTTTGATTCAAAGATGAAAAGCCAAGGTCTCACGTCAGAGTGCTAAGCTAATGTTTTATCATCTACAAGGCAGTCCAATTTATTTTGCAGATTACCTGGTGTTTTAGACAAAGTCTGTGGAAATAAAATGAACACGAAATTGGCATGTTGGACACCCGTAACAAATATCAAACTGTGCAGTGACCAGCAAGCAAGCCCTTCGTCAGGAGTCACGTGCAACCAAGGTGAGGCGCAGTGTCTGCGCGCTGCAGCAGCCTGCGGAGACCGCTCGTTCCCCGGGAGGTCTGCGCGCCATCTCCAGTTCTCACAACTGTTACATGTTAGCAGCATCGTTGTTGGATGAGGATTAATTTATCTTTTTCTGCTAGATATGATCAACAAAAAGCCAATTAAGCAAGTATCTTCCTCAATATCCGATAATTCTGAAGAAACAGAGAAGCTGCCGTATAGAAAAGAAATAATGCAGTGTAAGAAAGTAGGGAAAGTAGAAGTCTGCGGGAGCAGCCGCGACAGGAGGGCGGCCAGCAAGCAGCAGGACTGGCGCGTGGAGTCCCAGACGGCCTTCCGGTCGGTGCGCCTCAACAGGACGGTGGAAGAGTCTCTGATCTACAGGAAGAAGTACATACTGTCCAGGGATGTGAACACTGCTGCTCGAGCCGCAAGCCCTTCCAGGAACAGCGCCAAGGCTAACGGAAGGCCCCGGAGACAGCCGGCGGCTGCCCCGGGCGCCTGGGACTTGAGGCGGGAGAGAAAGGTGAGCGGCAGCGCGCCCGGGCGGCACTGGGGCCGCCAGCAGGAAGCAGCCGGGTTTAGAGCGGACCTGCCCCCGCCGCACCCTCCTGGGCTCGGCGCAGGCTCGGGGAGGGCATCGCCTGAACCCTCGCCGCCGCCCGCCGCCCGCCTGCGCCCGTGCTCGCCCTCCTTTGCACCAGCTGGCTGTGGGCTGTGCGGGTCTCTGCTCGGCCGATTCCGGCGTGTGAAGTTTGTTTTCCTGAGGGCCTAGCCCAGGCTTAGCCGCGGTGTCTGGAACATTTACTTGTGTTAAACTTTGGCGAGGAAGGGCGGGAGCCGGGTAGCAAAGTCGTCTTCTGCTGTACCTCTTGTTAGTCCCTCTGTTTTCCTCTTGATTGTTGGAATCTCCAGGATGGGCTTGGCTTTCCCGCCTTACTTTGAGACTAAAAGGAGAGGTTAGCTTACGTCTTTCTTCTGGGGGGGAGGGGAGGGGCATTGCTGTTAAGATGTAGCTTGAGAAAACCTTTTAATATTATTTTTAAGAAAAAATATGAGAGTCTATTTCCATATTAAGAGGATCCTGGTCATTTAGATTCTATTTTCATTTGTCATCCCGAGTATTGTTAACAGCTGGGCAGCAAGTTTTCTAGTCAGTGCACAATGTTCATGTATTAGGGCATCTTCGTGGGCACACAGAACATTTGCTAGATGATTCACACTTGTTTTATATCGCAGACGTCTGTCTTGACCAGTCTTCTCTTTGTTTTGTTTTTAATCTATAACTTATTTTCCTTAGTCCTTAGTATGCTAGTATTTCCTTTTCCCAGTCTTCATGGCTGTTTAAGTCCTTCGGAACTGGGCTAAACTAGGCTCATTTTGATTGATGGTTGATCTGTCTCTCAATCTTCATTTTCAACCGTTTCCTCTGGAGATTGGAATCTCTCAGCAGCATTTCGCTGAGGTGGTCATCCCCCTTTCCTGGGGGCGTGGGAGCGTGGGCGCATGGTCAGCTCGTCTGGGTTGTGCTCAAACTGGTAAAAACCCAACTCCCTATTCTCAGAAGTCCTCTTCAGCCTCCCTGTGGTCACTCCTGGATGACGGCACAGGAGCCCTCCCCACCATTCCTACGCCAGGCGGCCCCTCTGAGTGGCCCTGCCAGTCTCTGGGCGAGGCCAGGGAGCCAGAGCCCTGCAGTGCAGGCTACGGGTCCCGTGTGCCTCCGGCGGGGCCAGAGGTTCACTGCTTGCTGTATTTTTTCTTTTTTTTTTTTAAGATTCACTTATTTATGCACAAAGAACTGGGGTACAGGCCAGAGGTGCAGGGGGTAAGAGGATTCACCATAGACAGAGTGGCGACCAGGACAGGCAGATGGACTGAAACGCTTCTGAGGGGAGGAGAGGTCCGGAGAGGTCTGCCAGCCATGTGGCTCAGCCCCCCGGCGGGGGATGGGACTGGTGCTGCAGTGACTTCTGGAGCTTCATAATGTGGTGCTTCAGCCTGTTGCGCCACCAGGAGAGCCCTGTTTGCTGTATTTCTATCAAGCCAAGTAAGCCTTGTCTTCATGTGGCCATCTCAGAAAGTACATAACGACATACTGGTTTATGTATGATTTTAAAATGGTTAAAACAGTAAATATCTTTGTTATATTTTACCAGCATTTGCAAGACCCATCTGCCGGGCTCCCAGAAGACAGTAAAAGTAACGTTAGGGGAATTTAGATTTGTGAGAGTATAGTGGAATCTTCTTTTAACCAGATTTCTTGGAATGATACAGTCCCGGATTCTGTTTTGTAGTCCTCCCGCTAAACAATAGGATTTCCAAGACGGTTTTGGTTGTGCAGAGGTTTCCCGTGTGTCCCTTCCCCGCCCCCCGGCGTGCCCGCCCCCAGTGCGTGTGTCGCAGGCTCTGAGCCCGCGTTGGCGCCGCGTCACTGCGGCCGCCGCGTGGCGCGCTCACGCTCGCATCTGGTGTGCTCCACGTGACTGACGAGCAGGTGGCGACAGTGTCCTCACTTATTTCTCAGTGATACATAGATCCAAGTGCCTGCAGTGTTCTTTGCAGTATTTTCCTTTGAAAGTTCACTGGTGGGATTTTTCAGTAACTTGGCGATTGTTTCAGAGAGAAAAATCAAAAGAGGAAGGATTTACTGGTGCAGCGGATTCCTTGATAAAACAGATTAATAACAGATATAAACCAAAGGAGGACATGAAATCTACAGGAAAATTCAAGGAGACTTTGACTGACGGGTATGTTCTTCGGTTGTAGGCCATAAGTATTTCTCTGAAAGCATGTCTAGATTGTTCTATACAGTTTAAACACGTTAAATAATGCAACTTCCTAGTAGAAAACAGTTCTTTTTATGAGCTGTAGCTGTTTAAATTATGCAAGACAGGAACTAAATTTTGAATTAGTCGTTCTAATGTCTCATTACTTTTTATCAAGCATCCAAAATACCATGTCCATGCAGCAGACCTATATTTAGAATATAGACATTTTAGGATTTTGTTATTGAGCCCTGGTGCTGAGAAACACGACGTACATGTAAGTAAGTTGTTTTATGAAATGGCAGTTTCATGAGCTCACGAGTCGCTCTTACGTCCACGTGCGTTCCCTTCATGCGGGCTGCGGGAAGGCTAATTCTTACCACAGTGATGATAATCCGCTCAGAGGCTGCTCACTTAGGCCCAGTGAATCCTGGCTTTCCACAGCATGCAGAAAGTTTTCAGAAGCCATTCACTTTTGATTGTGTGGTGCCCCCTCCTGCACGAGGAGCGGCTGTAGAGTTCACCGTCACTGTTTGCCGTGACTGGAGCTGCAGACATGTCGAGGTGGCGCTAGCAGGCACCAACGTGGCTGCAGTGCCGCCTTCCCGCCACTCGGCGCCTGTTGGTACCTGTGTTCTCGGAGACAGCTCGTGGGAAAAACGACATGCTTTTGATGGCCTTTTTAATTCTGACACTCTTTTTTTACAGTGGTTTTTCAAACAAGCCTGATCTGCCGCTCAGTAAGGTAGGTTTCACTTAAGCGCACCACACGTATAGGCAGATTCTACGTGGTGTTTCCCTGTGAGCAAGGAAGGGACTAGCCCTTGGTGGAATTAGTCGTGACGTTTTCAGCTACTGATAATTCGTGAAAACAAGTAACAAGAGGAGTGGCACTCCTCAGACTAGACCCCCCCGTCTTCTGTCCTCCTTCTTTCACATCAACTTTGCTACATGATCCAGTGTATCTGCATCTCTGTGTTTTCTTCGCTAACCCCAATTCTCCTGACAGGAAGATCCTTCAGTCACTGTTTTGGTTAAAACATTTACTGTTGACCAAGGCATACTGTATCCGTCACCTTTGATCTCGTCCTTCTAATTACTTTCTATTTCCACTTTATTTCAGGCTTTAAGATTTACCTCCTATAGATTCCTCTTGAATTCGTCCCTTCTTGTGTATGTTAAATCCTGTTTTCTGAGTTTGAGTTCTAATTTCTAATCCCTGGATGATTATAATCCCTTTATGTTACCCCTTTCACCTTTTTTTCCTGTATATAATTCACTAAATTATTTTGCATTTAATTTATAAAACTTTATGTTTAATGTTTAACTCATTTCATATTAAGAAAAATGCTACAGATTTAAGATTTTTATAGTAGAAGCACTACAAAATTAATTGCAAACTTATTTGTAAACTTTTGTGTTTAGGAAAAGGTTCAGAAAAAAAGTTACAGACAACTGAAGACGACTTTTGTTAATGTTACTTCTGAATGCCCACTGTAAGTCGTGTTTCATGAGTTTTAGTTTGTCATTAAGTGCGTATTGTATAATGGAGTTAACATCACTCTTGACTTTTACAGGGATGATGTGTACAATTTTAACCTGAATGGAGCTGATGAACCAACTATAAAACTTGGAGTAAGAAAGTAGAAAGTAGTTATTTTGCATGTTATTGGAGTACTTTTTTCATTCTCCTCTGTATTTATTTGGCCACCACCCTGGCTCTAGTTAGTCTCCTTTCAAATCTTTTTTAACGGAAGTGAGAAAAAGAAGTAATCGGGGTCTATGGGGACTCTTAGACTGCTCCCCCAAGAAATCAGATCACTTACTGGCGTTGCTTTTTGTATAGTTTGGCATGCTTTATAATCTCTCTTCTTAAACTATTTTAGTCTTTCCAAATATTATGTGAAGTGATAGAAACTATTTTCTTTTTCTTGTTTTACCACCTTAGTTTGACACTAAGACATTTTTTTAATGCTTACTCACGATATAGATTCAGGAATTTCAAGCTACAGCTACAGAAGCCTGCGTGGATGATTCCATAAAACTGTAGGTACCTCTTGTTGCTAGGTGGGTCGGATTAGAACACACGTCGCTCAGGTGTCTTTGAGAGCCTGTAGCATGACAAAATGACGCTGCTGCCACCATTGCTCCCCGTGGGGAGCGCTTCCACGATCTCATTCTCTGCACATCTTAGATGAAAAGACTCAGCAGGCCCTTATCTTACCACCTTTCTCTACCTTATAATTACCTGCGGCTAGAGAGGCGCGTCAGTGAAATAGTGCTGAGGGCCGCGTGAGCTTACCCAGGGCAGTGCATGCTGCCGGAGAGCGAGTTATTAAAGTCAATGCATTTTCTGTTTAAGGGTAGGTTTAAGAAACTATGAAGCAGAAACTTATCGCAAGACAAAAGATAAAAGAGTAAGTCAAAATAATATCCTCGTGTGTGTGTTAAACTCAGTACTTTCCTAATGTCAACGATTGTCAGAACAGCAGAACAAAAATGTGGTTCCTGTGTGGGATAGTCCATGACAGCGTTGCGTGTGGTCTCTGAGCGGCTGTCATCACCTAGTGCAGACAGGAGAGCCTCACTGTCTGACGGCAGTGGGTTGTGTCTCTAGGGAAGGAAGTGGTTTGGGGAAGGCTTTGTTAACGATACTGAAGGGAACTGCAAGTCTGAGTGGCTTGTGTGGAAGGTCCTTAGTACGAGACAGATTGTGTACTTAACACGTGGGGACTGCTGGTTTTCTTCGGGTCTCGGTGTTTTTGTGTTGTCTAACTTGCTGTGCCTGGCATATAAGAAGATGCATTTCTTCATCTGTTACAAGGATTCTTTTTCTTACAGATTATAACAAATCAACAAAAGAAAAATCTCTTTAGTGATACTGACACAGAATACATTGGCGATGACAGCAAGACTGATATTAGCTGGCTGAGAGAATCGAAATCAAAGCCACAGCTGGTAGACTATAGCAGAAATAAAAAGGTGAAGAAACATAAAACTAGGAGAGCAAGTAAGAAATCACTTTGCAGAGCAATATTGCAAATAATTTTATCATTTCTAACAACATAAAATGCTTTGGGGATTGGGGAATAAGCCTCTGAATGGAGGTAGCACCCTCACACAGCCGAAAAAACGGTGAACGCAGATACACCAAATACTAGAATGATGGTTTATTGCTTAGATAAGGGGAGTTTAGAGTTTTTCATGGTGTCTTCATCTTTACTTCATGCTGTGCTCTCGGATGTGTCTGCCGACAGCCTATAGTCAACGAAACCAACACCATGAGCAGCCACAGTCTGCACCTCTCATTCCCTGCCACCCCCAGCGCACATGGCGCTTTAGGAACTCGTGGGAGGGCGGAGTTCCCGTGGATTCCCGCCTTTGCTTCAAGTAGTTGAATGAGAGATTGAGGTGCCAGTTCTTAGCCGAGAGGACTCATTTTCCGTAGCCAGACAGCAATATCAGCGCTATAAAAACATGTATAGTTCGTTTGTAAACATGACTCAGCTGCTTTTTGAAGGGCGTCGGCTTCCATTTTATTTTGGGGTAGAAATAACCAGTCGTGTTGGTATACGCGGGGGAAGGATGGTGGCTTAAAAAGTTAAAGGAGGTGAAAGTGAATTTGATACAGCTTGGAAACGACAGTGAACTTCAAAAACTGGTTAGAGGCCGGTCATACTCCTGAGGGAGGGAAGCGTGAGAAGTGCGCGGTGTCTCACGTTCAGGGACGGCAGTGGGGAGCAGGTGGGCTGGAGCTGGGGAAGTCGTGCGAGGTGCTGGACGTGGAGGCAGCCTGTGAGGAGCCAAGAGGCAGCTGCACTCGTGGCGCGGCCTGGCTGGTGCCAGGCCCTGCATCTAGACTCTGAGGGTAAGATGGGCGACGGGCCGCCTCGGAGCAGCGCTGGAGGCTGTGATCACAAGCACTCTCAAAATGCATCTCTGGAAAGTGGCCTGCAGGCCGCGTGTGAGCTGCTCTGTCAGACTGGAGGCCTGCCTCCAGCGGGCTTGCTGCCCAGCGCCTGTGCCCACAGAGGCAGTCCCGGCGGGCAGCGGGTACATCTGTGCCATGATGCAGAACATGCACTGCGTGGGGCAGGCTTGTGAAATCGGGGTCTTGTTAGGGCTAGAAGTGAAAAACAGATGTCAAGCAAGGGGAAAATCTACAAACACTGCAGTAAGGTGCTGGCTTAGTCTCATGGGGTCTTGATTTAAATTTTGAATGCGTTTAAGAAATGCCAGCTCTTAGCTGCATGGCTGTTACAGCTTTTTTTTTTTTTTCTTGAATTGCAGGCTCATCCTTGGAAAGACGGCCAGGATTAAAAACGGTAAAACCAAGGAGCTTGTGTTGACGCTCCCTTTAAAAGGATTTCTTGTCCTGCAGCAAAAATTCAGTTGCCATCTCAGTTTTACCATGTTACCACTTACTTGATTTCCGTGACTGTCTCAGCCTTTGTGCACGTTCTTCCTCCTTTCTGAATCATGTGGGATAGTTTTGTGCTCTTGTTCTCTGGAAGAAATCCAGTCGTTAACAAAATCAGTCAGGGACCATTCATCGAAGCAGTCTTGTAACAAACACGTGTATTTCTAATACTGATCTAGTAACAACCTGGGCCTTTTTTCTCCTAAAGACATGCAGGAAAAATATCACCAGAAACATAGATGAGACCATTCCAGATGGGAGGACCAGACTTCCGCGAAGAGCGACCACAACCAGAAAAAATTATAAAGATCTCTCCACTTCAGAATCAGAGAGTGAAGCAGAATTTTCACATTCATTTAAGAAGAAACTGGTAGTAAAGGTAAAGCACCGCAGTCGGCTTGCAGCCATTTCTGGAAGTCTCAGCGTTAGCTGGTGAATTCTGCCCGTGAGTGTGTTGTATTTATCGTGTTGCTTTTCAGGAATGAACCTTCCATGAGAAGACAAATAGTTCTCAAAAGAAATCCATGCGCAAAATAACATTAGGGGGTGTAATAAGTTGGCATTAATGTTACAAAACAGATGTCTGATGCCAGGAAAGCTGTTAACTGAAACGTCCTTGATTTAGAAGTGGGGCTTTCTCTTGAGCGAGCCCCAAAGCACGGGCGAAGGCTGCGCGCTGCTGCGGGCCAGCTCTCGGCTAGTTTGTCATCTTGAAGGACAGGACCCTGGTGGCCGTGATTTCACCCTTTTCTCTAAAAAGAAGCCCTTAGTTAATCTATGTTTTGATTAAGGTAACAACAAAGGACCCCACTGGCCAGGGGCTACTCTCAGCCCTTGACGCATCTGTGACTGCGTCTGCTGCCGTAGCCCCGTTTCACAACTGGATGGAAGGCGGGAGAGGGAGCTCGCACCAGCCCCCCAGCTAGGCAGGGGGAGAGCAGGGCGGGGGCCGCCTTCACACGGCTTCTCGGACACTACCGGACCCCCGCCCGTCACCTGGAAGATGTTTAAGGACATTATGGCTTAGCTGCACGTTTACTCTCTCGAGCTGCCACTCACCTCATCTCTAGTCCGAGAAAAGCCCTGGACAGCTCCCGAGAGTCGGGCATTCAGGGCCCCAGAATAGCTCCAGGCTCATTTCCCTGCTCTCAGCCCGGACTTAAGAGCTGTTAGGCCAGATAGAATTAACGTGGACCCCCAGCCAGACCTGAGCCCCCTCTCCGTGTCAGGACTGGGGGACCAGGCATGTTCCCGGTTTCCCCGAGCAACTTCTTGGCCTCCTCATTACATGCTATGTGTGTGTCTCTGTATTTCTCAGTCTCCATGTTCCTGTAGCCTTCCTGTGAATCTGCCTGCTGTCTTTCTGTATGTTGGTTCTTTCAGTCGGCATGTTAGGGCCCTGCGGTCCCTGTGTGTGGTAATGTGACAATTAATTCGCAACTTAAACGTGCAAGGACAAACGCACTGAAAGGTATCCATACATTCAGGAGAACAGCCATTCCCGAAGCAGCACCAGGAAGCAGCCGGAGAAACAACAGAGCGCCTTCTCCGGGGGCGCGTGGAAGGAAGCAGCAGCAGGCTGGAGCAGCGCCGTGCGGGACCAGCGCCGGGACGCGGCTGCCGTGCCGCTGTCGGGGAGTCCGTCCTCTGTAGAAGTCATGAGATGTCAGTACCGTTGGTCTCCTTTCGTGGGACGGGCACTAATTTTGCATAAGAGAAAATATCTGAAGACGGATTCTGAGACATTTTTAAGGTGATAGGGCTCAAAACGTCATCTTTAACCTAGCTTACACCGGTAGCTTCCTTTCTGTTAAGTAGACGAGGGCGCTGCTCTGTGTCTGAAGGTTGTTACTCGAGGAGGGAGCTACCGAGTACTCGATAATACTGTTCTATGAAGTTCAGTGAGAATGCTTGGTAACTATGGAGATTTCTATTTTTCTCTTACATCCATTGACAAGTCAGCAAGGACTAGCAGGTTATGTTGTGGACCCACGGTGGACAGTCTACATAAGCAGTGAGGTTTTTCTTTAAAGTAATTGGCCGAGAAACCTATATTCCCTGATGCTCTGGCATATACCTACTTTCCCGACGCGGGCGCTGTCAGAAGAAGCTTATACCTTTATGTTGCTTTTCAGTTCCTTTGAAGGACATTTAAAGACGTTTCTAGGTGTGTCATTTCTGGTAAAATATGCCTCTTCTAAGAGAGAAGTCTTACAGGTGCCCGCACTCGGAACACAGACGTGCACACCCTGGTCGGAGGTTGGCCGGGTGCGCGTAGCGAGTGTGGCCTTGAATTTTCTCACCCGTAGCTGAAGGATTTAGACCAGACGGCTCCCCAAGCCGTTCCCAGACGGCTCCCCAAGCCGTTCCCAGACGTGAAGCTCTGTGACTCGCAGTAGTCCTGGCGGTGCTGTCGGCCACTCGGTGCATCGTGTAGTCAGCTCACGCTGCAGGTTTCTGCTTGGAAATGTTTCACAAGTTCTTTATGGTGACAACTGCATTTTAAATTTAGCCATAAGCATTTGAGGATTTGCAAATCAGTCTTAGGCTTTAATCATGCTATTTTTAAAACAGACATGAATGATCATAGCTGTCGTCCGTTTTGTTTGTGTTTCGTGGAGCAATACAGGTGTGGAGAAAATAGCAGAAAAAGATCTAAGTCCGGATTCCGACTGTATAGCAAGATCCTTATCACCGTGTCCACAAACTTCACCTGAATCCTTATGCGGCCAGTACAGAGGAGGAGGACCAGGTGGCTCCCCCAGAAACAGTGAGAAAAACGTGTGTGCTGGGGAGAGCACCTCCTCCGCTCCACAGTCAGACCTTCTGGTAAGCACCTGCATTGTTTTTCTGTGAAGGAGACAAACCAAGAGGTCGGCCTTCAGTCCTCATCAGACAGACATTATCGACTTAGGTTTTGGGTTTGGTCTGGAAGAGAGAAGGGAACTTACTGAGAAGCTAAATGGCCTCAGTGATAGTCCAGCCTGGTAGAGACCTGTGTGGGGGAGGCGGGGGGCTGGGAGCCGAAGAGCGGGGTATTCAGAATGGCGGCTTCCGCAGAGTTGCTCTCCTTTGGCTTTGCGTTAGAACGACGGTTTGTTTTCTAGATTTGAATAGGCTTATTTGTGCAACACACGAGCATCTTTCAGGTTTCACCACAACTCATACCTCACAGTATGACTAACACTGGCTTTAAAACTAGTAGCTAAATGATGTACACTTTAATGTATATTAACAAATTTAATGCAATGTGAGATGCACCATTTCTTAATAAAATAGGAGGTAGTTAAATGTTAATACATAAAACTACTCCTAGTAGACATTAAGTTGTGGCTCTCTTGCTACCAGTTTACAAGCTCTCCCTCCCCTCCACCACCCACAGAGCTGTGTCAGTATATTCATGTCGTTCCCTATAGCTGAGGATAGCTCAAGGAGTTGAATTTGGGGTAAGTCCTGACCCTACTATTTGCTAGGCATCAACATCTTACAAGTCAGTGCGTCCTGCAGCACCTCATTTCTCACAGGTGAGGAACCTTCTACATGCTGATTGAGCAGGCATAACACTGGCAGACAGCAGAGACTTCAAGCACATACTCTCCTGACAGGTGCTAACCTCTGTATACAAAGCTGAATTAGGACCATTTAATATATCTGTAGCCAAACCCAAAACTTCCGTTAAAACCACCTTGTTCCCTACTCCTTTGAACAAAATGTTTTTATTCTAAACAGTCTTGAGGTCACTTTATGTGATTCGAAAATTGCTGGCCTAAAATAATATTTTCAAACAAAGTGCCAGTGTCAAAGCAGTCAGACCCTCTCACTCAGCCCACTGTGCAAACGCCCAGGCAAGATGGCGGCGCCAGAGCCGCGGCGTCTGACTGACAGCCAGCTCAGCTTAACAGACTATCATCAGTCAGGCGTTAGTGTTCTGGCTATGTAGGAGGGTGTGGCCACGAAAGCCAACGGGAACTTTTAAATGAGAAGCCTCAGTGAGATCTTAACTAGTGAAGATGCCACTGATGTACGTATTTATAACTCATTCTTTCTGGTCCCAAGATGCAGTAGGACCTGGGTGGAGCTTTGATCATTGACAAAAATATGTCTGTAACCTGTAAAGCATAGAAAGGTGGAATTTTGTAGCTTGGACAGGGACGGGATTTGACCTCGACCTAAGTGGAGGAGGGAGCTTTGTGGACTAAGTGGAGTAAGCAGTGACCCCCAGGAAGCGGCCGGAGAGCGATGCGTGTGTTCATGAAATGGGGAGCTAAGCTGTTCTCAGACTGAAGCGGTAAAGTGTAAGAGGGTAAGGATCTGACTGAACTACAGCTTGAAAGAAGTCTAGATTTTTGTTGTCTGTGGCTCCCCATTTCCTGGCTTAACTCCTGCTAAGAACTTGAAACGTCAGAAAGAAAAAAGAAAACAACAGAAAGAAAAAAGAAAACAACAATCTGAAAAGAAGAATCTGCAACATGTTGGCTTTAGGGTTTCGGAATCAGATGGTAATTTTTCTAATTTCTGGTGTTTATTTTAGGAAAGTCACTCACCCTCTGCTTTATCCGTGTCCAGTGGTGGAACAGGGGGGACACGGTGTGGCCTCCGGTGCGCCTCTGCCCGTGCGTCAGGTCTGTGGCGAGAGCTTGCTCGGACATGCACTAGTAGCTGCTGCGCTCTGGGAGAGCCATTGTGCCGGTACTCGGGTCAGCCAATGTACAAGTGAAAAGTGGGCCCGGAGGAATTTAATGCCCAGTAGCGTAAGACATCGGGCGGTAATGAGCTGAAACAGGCTTCCCGTAAAAGCCAGACATGCTAGGTATTTCGCATCAAGACCGTCAGGCTAAGGCACCTCTAAACTGCTTCCTAGGTCCCGCCCAGCGTCCTAGCCGCAAACGCACGCACCCCGGAGGCCATCTAAGTAATTCCGACGAAGCAGATTTGGAAGAGGTAAAGAGAATACACTTGCTTCCCAGAAGCCTGTCTAAAGCCAAAGACGCAGACCTTCACGCTGACAAAAGTAGGTGGATTGTGTTTGTGTCAAAACGCAGCGATGATCTTGGAAGGCGTTTTCTTAGAATTAAGCGACTCCATCCCCAAACAAGCCCCTTTTCCTAGCACTGGGGCTAAGTCTAGCAGGGTCGATGCTTTACCACACGGCCCGCTGAGAGGGGGGTGATGCTGGGGCGTCTCGTGCGCACAGCTCCCCCAGCGCTGATGACCGCACCGGGCGTGTACAGGGCTGTGAATGTACTGGTGGGCCGGTGTGTCACTAAAACTGTTTCTGCCCTAATGCCCACGTGCCAAAAGCGTTTTTATATAAAATGAGGGCTGCGCTCGCTCATAGCCCTTACATTACAAACAGAACTTGAATTCTAGTTTGCTCTGAAGCTCAGGGCAAGGCTAAATCTGTAATGCCGCGTGTCTGAGGCTGCTGTCCTTCCTTTTCTAGTGTCTGAAAGTACATCTCCACTTTCACTAAATGATTTTTCTACTCCTGTGGAAAAGTGGGGAGGTGAAATTTCAGAAGTAGGAATGATGTGTCAGAAGATCAATACCGAATTACAGAGAAAATGTAACGTGAGTTGTCACTCTTTAGAGCGTGCTCTGCTGCCCCTAGTGCTGGACAAGATGCCCGTTTGTGAGCTCAGCTTTCCTCACGCGCCCGTGAAAGACAGAACGGTTCGTAGGCGAAAAGCGCGCCGTTGAGAGCCGTGGCGCTCGTGTTTGATGTTTCTGTGGTTTCATTCTTTTCATGCTCCGCTGTTTGTATCTGGCAAGGGGCCTGAGGGGGAGGACAGGCAGCAGGGGCCAGGCGGGGGCGCCGGCACCCCGGGAGCTGCTGTCATAAGCCTCCTGCGGCAGCCTTCCCTGCCCAGCTCCCCTGTCTGCACGCACAGCAGCCAGTTCTCTCCGCGCCAGGCAGTAAGCTGCTGCTTTGCCCTTGCCCTTTCCTTCTACTCAGGGATAAAGTCTGAAACAAGGCTTGGTGAAGGCAGCCTGCCGCGTGGCCTGCGTCCTGGAGGTTATCATCACGAGCGTGTTTGTAAATGACGTATCACGGTGTCACCTCAGTCACCGCCTCTGCAGTTAGCTGTCAACACATTTTCACTTCTAAATGCTTGGTTATTTGCATCTCATGGCTCTTTGCTCTGAATATAGTATTAGCTAGATGATTATTTTGTAAAAAAATTTCGACTTAAAAATGAATGTCTTTCAGAATCGCCAGAAAATAGTGGAATATTTTTCTAAGCATACTTGGAAAATGGTTCGCCATCATGTGAAAACAATAAACCATCAAATTCAGGAGTACAGGTCTGTAATGAAAATCTCTTCTGAACTGAATATACTCTTAAGTGCCATAAACTAATCTTTAATCTCATTTTATGTCTTCAATAGGATTAAAAAACTTGATAAATTCCAGTTTACCATCATAGAGGAGCTGGAGAATTTTGAAAGAGATTCACAGTCTTTAAAAGACTTGGAAAAGGAATTTGTGGTTTGTGCTTTTAAAACCTCACTTTTAAAGACACTCAAAAAACTTCGGCTAACCTTCTGCTTTTAGTGAACACCATAAGGGAGAAATTCTGATGTTTAAATCTTAGAACTGGGGTGTGAAGATTCACCAGAGTGGGGAGCAGCAGGGAGACAGGGGGCCTGACTTGGTTTAACAGGAAGGCATATGTCATACCTAGATTACTCTTAGCAGATGGCCAAATTGTTTATGTAAATTAGGAATTGCATAAATATAGTAACTCCATGTTTACTAGTTTATATTTTAAATTTTAGGACCTCTGGGAAAAGATATTTCAGAAGTTCAAAACCTATCAAAAAGGTGACCAGCAGAGGTCAGTATGAGTAGAATCTCTAAAGTTTTAAAATGAGATTGTTAACAGTTACTTGGTATTTTAAATTGTAATTCCTGGCAAATACAAGTGTAACTTTCATTATTTTACTTGCCAGGCTCCACCTTTTGAAGGCTTCATTGGATAAAAATGTCTTCTTTAACACTGATTATGAAGAAACTATTTTTACATCTGAGGTATAAATATTTCAGTACTGGTTATTCCAACTTGTTTTATGCTATGCTGTGAATTTTTTTCAGTAAGTTTCATGACAGAAATGTGCTTATTTACAGATGTGTTTGATGAAAGAAGACATGAAAGTGATACAAAACAAATTTCTCAAGGAAATGGTAAGTCAGCTGTTGGGCTTGTGCTTCTAAAGTCCGTTAATCAATCCTTCTGAGGGGGAAAGCGACTTCAGATTTTTCTTTGTGGAAATCAGAAGTGGTAGTTTTAGCCTGGAAACACTCACTCTCTAGATTAGATTCCCACTAAATAATGGGGGTACCTCCTGCAGTTACCCGAGCCCTGTGGCCCACTCTGTCCAGCCTTCTGACGAGCAGAATCAGGACAGAGCTGCCCAGGATGACCATCAATGGGGGGGGGCAGAGTTGCATTCTGGGGGGTCTCAAGCTCTGGGGCGTTTAAGCATCTACTTCAGTACTAGTGTTCGTATAAAGGGTAATTCATAGACTTAACAGGACCTTGAGAGGATTTTGTAGGTTCTAGTTTGAAGCAAACTAGCTTTTCTTTAAGTTTCACTAATGTGGGTTCATAGGTGGGCACTCTCCTCTTACTCACGTACCGGGGGTCACCGAGTTCTGCAGCCCCCGCCTGGGGGCCTGGACAGCAGCATGGTGGAAGGGTCTAACCGCGGGCACCTAGTTGCTTGATGTTCTCTGCTGATCGTTCAGCTTTTAAGGTTGGTTTTTCTCTTGATCCTAGCAAGAAGAGGAGCTTCTTAATGTGCGCAGAGGACTGCTGACATTATTCTTGGCTCATGAAACAGAGATGGGTGTGTGATTCAAAGAAAAGCACACATAACCACTATAATACGACCCCAAGACTAAACTGCTATTTTGTTAGAGAAAAACTAAAGCTGTATTACCGATGAACGCGGTTTGGACTCAATAAACATGGAGCCCTGTGTTGAAGCATGCTTTAAACTGTTCTCCTGAAGGAGCTTGGTTCTTGTGGCGCAGCGGGGCGAGTAGCTGTTCAGTCCAGCGTCTCTTACTGCTTCACTGAAACTTTTGATATATTTTGCCGACCCTCATCACGAGGTTCTTAGCTTTTCAGTGCCATTCCGTTGGGAAAACCTTTGGCTGGTGTCTTTTCCCGCCTCTTACCTTCAGTATGGGGCTCTCCAGTTTCTAATCTCCTAGTAGGTGACTTCTTTACGTTGAGGACTTCCACGTATACGAAGCTGTATACACACTTGGCTGTCAGAATGGCGGACACAGCTGTTCACCCCCTCGGCATTCTCACTACCAAAGAATAAACCTTGTCCACCTCACGAATACGACCTAGCCTCCCAGCTACCGGCATAAACCCACACTTAGCATTTACTCTTCCAGCTGACTGACCAGTGGGCCCGCGTACGGTACCGCCAGGACCACGGCCCTCACCGCTCCCTGCCCAGCTCAGCCCTCGGTCACCCCGCAGGCAGCCCGCTCTCACTGCCGCAGGCTGCCCACCTCAGCCCAACACTCCCGTGACCACGCCGAGTGGAGGAAATCTGAAAGCACTTGGGACCAGAGCCCACATCTCGTAGGCATGGTGAGGGCGGCGCAAGGGGACCCAGACGCCAGTGGGCAGGCGCAGACTGAGGACGGGGGCGAGGGGCTCAAAACGGGAGCACACCCATAAAGCTGGGTCATCGGTTGGATGACAGAAACGCATTACTAAGACGGTCAGAATCGGGCATCACCACCCGCCTCACAAAAAAGGGCTGCAAGAGACCTGACCAACTGCATGCCAACGCTGGTCATGCCGCGAACTAGAAACAAGCCAACTCGGGAAGAAACAGTCTGAGCAGAGCCAGGATGAAGAGCTGACTCGGCAGATAAAACCACCTCACATAGGGAGCGGGGGCATGTCCGTGTCTGCGCCGGGCAGGGCCAGCAGGAGGTGCTGGCCAGTGTCCCTCGGGACGCACATGTAAACCGCCCACAGAGCACCAGCAAATGCCAACACTAAGCCCGGCAGCACAGAGGAAGGAGCACGTTTCAGGGAGGGGCCCGATGCCCAGGGCCTGCCCGGCGTGGGCCGCGGGTGCCAGCTCGGGTGTGGCAGGGAAGTCCTCCTGCTGGGCGGAGGTAGACGTGAGGTTTTGAAGTGGTCACCGAAATCATGGGTCTCCGACCACAGGCCCTTCAGGGCCTCGATGGCCGCTCCTCAGAGGACGGCACTTGGTAGTCGTCCTCGCGTGCGTCCCAGGAGGCCGGGAGGGCGTCTCCCTGGCAGCTGGGCAAGGAGCCGCCGCCCCCTGCCGTATGGGCGTGCGCGGTGAGCGCTCAGACTGCTGTACGACGGTCTGTGCAGCGATCGACCCCCGCTGAGCCCCTTAACAGACACGGGCCCTTGCGCTCACCTCGCCGGGATGCGCGCCGCCAGCCACGTAGCCAGCGGTGAGCGCGTGGCGTGAGCTGGCATCTGAAACGGTTTGATGCTGAACGCGGGAGCCAGGCCAGAATGTAGCTGAGTGTGTCCTGTGTAGTTTCCTATTACACGCTTCAACTTTAATTTTAGGGGAGCTGGCAAGCACCTGACAGCACTCAGTGCTTCAGGCTTTTGGGGTTCAACAACAGTGTTGAGGCTACGCTGTCGGAAGGTACAAGCCACCCTTACCTGACTGGCCTCCGGGCCGACGGGGCGCGGCAGGTTGCGCTCCCTGGTCTGGAAGGAAATTGGACGCACGAGCGCGCCCTTCTTCACTCTGCAGCGCCTCCCTCGGCCGCCTGCTGTTTGGCCAGGGGCTGTCAGCCTCACACGGGCAGAAGCCAGTGACTGCGCTCATTACCTCAGCTGGGCGAAGCTGCTTGTCTGTTTCAGACACGAGCCAGTGCAGCGGATGACACTTTCTCGTTGGACTGCCGTTAGCACCGTGGGCGTGGGGTACCAGGCGCCCTATCCGGCTTTTCCAAAGAACTCACGGGAGAGGCCGTAAAGAAAACTCCACAGCGCTAGCGCAGAGGGCAGAAGCTTCTGTGCTAGACACGGCCCTCGCGCAGCCCGGGCGCCAGCCGCCTCCCCCGGGCTTCATCCTGCGCTCAGTTCCACGCGGCCCGGGTCTGCGGGGCGTCGCTCCTGGTGAGCCGCCCAGGCCGCCCAGCCCTGCTGGCAGCCAGCCCGGTCGCGGCGGCAAGCAGCGCTCACTTCAGAGCCCCCTAACGCACTACAAGCCCGAGCGGGTCGGCCTGGAAGGGTCGGAAATGCCATGTGCAAGCAACTGAAGTAGGATCAGCGAGACAGCTTACCGGAAGCCACGCGAGCGGCGAACCAGCCAGGCAGGCGCCGGCCCTGCGCCCGCAGGACTCCGAGGGCTGCGCCAGGGCGCTCCTGGCGCCACGCGCACCTGCAAGAGGGAGGTGAGGGGCGTTCAGGGAGCGAAGACGCCTGGACACGCAGCCGTGTCTGCAGCGTCGGCTGCCGCGCACGGTCCACACCCAGCGTTCCCGTGCTGCAAGCGCCGAGCAGACGGGCCGCGGCACTGGCCCGCCCAGCCCCATAGGGCTGACGGCGTCTGCTGAGGCTTGGCGCGCTCTTACCTGACCGTCTGCCCTCGGGGAGCTGACAGCCGCAGCTTCCCGTCAGCAGGCTGGCGAGCAAGTCTGTGGAGCATCTTGTTTCCCAAGAAAAACAAACCTGAGCGACGGCACAAGAAACACCTGGGGCAGCACACGGACGCAGGCTGGTGCTTGGAGTTGCGGTGGGACCGAGGCCGGCGGCGGCGCCCTGGCGAGAGCAGAAGCCTCAGGCTGCCAGTGCTGTGACCCCCGAAGGCGGCGCACCGCTGGGGGGATTGGCGGAGTCTTCCAGGACCCCGAGGCCAGATCACGGAGTTGCAAAGGTGCCCTGAAACGCTTCTTGCATCATGCGACCAGGCCCCTTCCCAGACTGCCTCAGAACTTCACGGATGCTTCTAGAAGGGATTGCCAATGAAGAGTGTTTACAAATCGTTAACTCCTTAAGACGGTGCTTTAATGACTTCATAGTGTTTAGCAGTTCAGCATTTTTTGTGTGAAAATGAGAACTTGTAAAAATCAAAGCACAAAAGCTCATACTAGTAATGAACAATTCTGAAAATCCAGATACTGGGATTGCTGTTGACTAAGTTTTTCGGTATCTTCATACTCGAGCAAATTAAGTGTGTACACACATCGGTGTGTATATTCTCCACATTTATGCAACATGTAAATTTATATTCATGTATATCACCAGCATCATCCACTTAGGAATTTTTTCTCTCTCCAGCTAAGTAGGTTCGAGGCGCCTGGTCGTATCCCAGGCAACGCAGAATAAACATGTGCACCCCAAGTTTTAGTTTCTCTCTCAACTTCCACAGACCTGAAAAGAGCATTTCACGGCTCCTAAAAATACATGGGAAAGTCGGACGCCACTGCTAAAGGCTTTCGTCGAGCGGGGACGTCCTCCGGCCCTGTGAGGCCGTGGGGCCCCCAGTCGGGGCCAGACACCGCCCGTTGGGCCCCCCGCAGCATCCCCGGCGCCAGATTTCTCACGTTCCAGTGGGCTGCGGGACTCGGGCTGGGAACAGACCCAGCCGTGTCCCCTCCACGAGGCCACCTGCCGCCGTGGCGCCCGGGCCGGCACTCCCTGTCTTGGCGACCACGGGCGCTCCGTGCGGCAGAGGGAGGCCTGGGTTTCCGTGACTGCTCCAGTTAGCATTCAGCACAGGGCCGCAGAGAGGGCTGCCCACGTACAGGTTAAACACAAAGCAGCGTGGAGACCGCACAACACGGGCTGGGACAGGAGCGTGCTGCGTGCAGGTGAGGCCGGGCTTTGTGCTGCGGGCCGAGACCCAGCAAGGGCAGCTGGGGATCGCCTCGTGGCAGAGACGAAGAGACTCCTGAGGCCGGGCGAGTCAAGTGACCGGCAGAAGGTCACACAGCCAGTAAGAGGCAGCGCTGGCCTGTGTCCACCGTGTGGTCAGGCCTACCCAGCTAGCAGTGGACTGGCTATAGCCTCCCGGGGGTGGGGGTCACAGTCTTTCAGGATTAAGTTCCCCCCCAAGGGCCGAGCAGCGTCCACGGCCCCTGCCCCTGCAGGCTTAACAGCGCCCAGGCATGGCGCGGCCAGCGGGAGGCCAGCGTGCGCTCAGGAGCCTGGCGGTCGCTCCGCCCCTCCAGGCCCGCCCAGACTGGCGCTGCCCCTCTCTGGAGGCCAGCGGCAGGCGCGGGCAGTGAGCAGCGGGCCCTCCTGGCAGGGCCTCGGCCTCTGGCCAAGCGGCCGGAGCTGGAGCCGGACACAGGCTCTGGAGAGACGAGTCCCGGCGGAGGGCAGGGCAGCCGCGCCGGCGGGTGGAGCGCGCCTTCGGGCGTCTGCGGACTCTCCCTCTGCCAAGACGGAGTCCTGCCTTCGCGAGGAGGGAAACTGCTTCGCCTTACCAGCCGCGCCGCATCTCAGTTTGTGCCTCAGAGCTCTCCGCAATGTCTGCAACGCGAACTGAGCAGCACCCGCTAGAGGCCGTGGTTCTCCTCCTGAGGCAGTTTCCCACGGATGGCACCGCGCAGGTGGTTCCTCACCGAGGCGGACGGGGACCTGGGAAGGGCAATCTGGACCTCACAGCGCTCCC